ACCAAATTTGAAATGATTTTTTTTTTTTATTTTATTCCTTGAAATATCAGTATCTTCATCTTTTAGTCTCCTTTTTTGTCCCCCGCTTGAAAAGTGGGGGATATTAATTTGGGTTTGTCCGTCCGTCCGTCCGTCCGTCTGTCCGTCCGTCCGTCTTTCTGTCTGTCTGTAACACTTTCGTTTCCACACGATATCTCGAGAACCCTTTGAACTTTCGCAATGAAATTTTGCATAGCAACTCCCTATGGACTAAGGAAGACTCCTATTGATTTTGAGGTCAAAAGGTCAAAGGTCAAGGTCATAAATAAGCAAATTCTGTCTGTTAAAACACTTTCGTTTCCACACGATATCTCTAGAACCATTTGAGCTATTGCAATGAAATTTTACATAACAACTCCCTGTGGCCTAAGGAAGACCCCTATTGATTTTGAGGTCAAAAGGTCAAAGTTCAAGGTCGTAAATTTATACATTCTGTCTGTGTGTAACACTATCATTTCCGGGCGATATTTCAAGAAGATTTTGAGCTTATGCAATGTAATTTTATACCAAAATTCCGTAGGACGTCTCTCGCCCTTCTCAAAGTGCCCCGCCCCGTTTGTTTTATTAGTATTTATAGTATTACATGTCGCTATTTTTAGCGCAGGGGCATGAGGAGAGTTATTGCGTATAAAACAGGTTCTCGGCGGACTTTATGTTCTTATTGCATCTATTAGAACTGTTTAATAAAGGCTAAATAAATCAAACACCATGGATTGTGTAAAATTTTGAGAATACCGAACATGAAAACATGAATATATACACGCTCACCTGAACTATTGATTTTCATCAACTTTGATCCCTCATGGCAGGGGCGGATCAAGGGGGCTTACGGGTATTGCACCCCGGCCCTCACCCCACCCAACCCCCTTTGGATTTGCTAAAGAGAGAGAGAAATAAGAGAGTCTTAAATTTTTGTTGTGATTTTACTATAGAAAATGTTCAGATAAAGGCTTATGTATAGTATTGTATGAAGAAGTTTGGTTGTGAAAACAAAAAGAAACCCCTCCCCTTTAAAAATGGGATTTTCGGGTTAGGAAAATATTCCCGTTCTTTGGAAAAAAAACTTTTTGGTAATCCATAAAAGCTTTTTCCCGGGCTGACCCCCCCCCCCTTCTTTTTTTTACCCCTTGGATTATAATTTGAACAAATATGAGTCTATACTGTCCGATGATTAGTTTTGTTTTTTTATGTATGTGACCATTTAAAAATCTGTCTGCATATATAGATATGGCACGCCAAATTCACAAAAATGAGCTAAACCTAGTTTCACAATTGATAAACTAGGTTTATCGACTGTAAACTATAGTTTACAAACCGTGAACTATAGTTAACAATTCGTTAACTATAGTTTTCATCTGCAAAACTATATTTAACGGCTGTTAACTATAGTTTACGAATGCTAATCTAAGTTTATCTGTCTGAATAAAGCGTTAACAATAGATTTTGTTGATAAACATAGATTCACGTTTGTAAACTATAGTTTACAATCGTAAACTATAGTTAAGAGTTGTTAATCATAGTTTCACAAATCGTGAAACTATATTTATCAGATCGTTAACCATAGTTAACGGTTTGTAAACTATAGTTTACAAATCGTGAAACTGTATTTATCAGATAATCTATGTTTTGCAATCGCAAATGATAGTTTTCGGTGTTAAGTATGGTTTACGGCTGTGAAACATAGATTATCGCGTTAACTATGGTTTACAGATGTAAAATATAGATTAATAACGTTGTTAACTATAGTTTACAGTCCGTAAACTATAGTTTACAACCGATAAACCTAGTTTATCGATTGTGAAACTATGATTTGCTCATTTTTGTGAATTTGGCGTGCCATATATAGAGGCCTGTACCCTACCCATAGAGGTCATGATTTGAACAAACTTGAATCTACACTATCTACATCTACATGTAAATATAACCTTTTCTTGCCACAATGGTTCTCAGTCAATTTAAATCTCCCCGGCATTGGAAGATGGTGTTGTTTTCATTAGAACAAACTTGAATTGCAATTTACCTGCAGGTAGTCTGTGCCAAGTTTGGTTGAAGTTGGCCCTGTGGTTCTGGAAAATACTATGAAAATATTTTGGGAAAAAGTGTAGGACAACGACAGTCAATGGGCGAATTTTGATCAGAAAAGCTCACTGGATCACAGGTGAGCTAGAAATAGAAAAGTGCAAGATCTGTTGGGAAAAGACATCGGACACTAATCACAAAGGACAAGATAGGGTAAGACCCTTTTTGGCCCCTGATTTTTGTTGTCTTTCAGAATGATGCAACATTTTATCCATAAAAACTTGTTGTCATCCCTATTACAAAAAATGAGTAATGGTTCTAAGTTTTGAAATTCACAGAGGTCACAGAGAAGAAAATAGATCAATTTTTGAATTTTCTCATTTTTTATTTAAATTTTCATTAATTTCACTACACATTTTGTTTCGAGAAACATAGAGCACAAGCTTGCCTATCTACCTAATTATATATTTTATAAACAAGTATCAGAGGCAAATAATGTTTAAAAATCTTAGATAGCAAGCATGTGCTCTATATTTTTTGAAGAGAAAAGTATCTCAAATATGATGAAATTCTATCAGAAATTAGGGAAAATGTCCTACTTCTGCACCCTCTAGTGGCTTCCATGTAAGACTTGAATCCAAATTGGTACTGGGTTTAAAGCCAGCATCATTCTGATTTTTAACTACAAACTATCACAATTTACAAGTGTTCTCAGTCATTTTTACATCAAACTAGAGGTAACTACAAACTTTCACAATTTACAAGTGTTCTCAGTCATTTTTTACATCAAATAAGGGGCCATACTTGGCCTTTACCCTACCTTGTCCTTTGTTATCAGATTTATTGCACTTGAATCTTGTATGATTAGACTTCAAAATTAATGGCAAAGCTACCATGATGTAACTTAAATATGGATATTTCAGGTACATTTTTACAATACAGTAAATACTGTATACTAGTATAATTTTTTGAAAGTGATGTTATGAAAGTTGAAAAATAAGAAACAAGACACGCCTCGGTACAATACTATATTATATTCTAGCCGAATAAGATCAGTGATGAGGAGCTGTATGAAAGAACAAACACAACCTCCATATCCGACCAGATTAAAGAACAAGAGGCCCGTGAGCTGCAACGCTCACATACGTCCCTTTGGGGCTACTTAGTTCTGCATCAGTTTTTTTCTCCAATATACATGTATTTCTATGTCAAATTTTGATCGAATTTTGTGGCCCCATCCTATGAAGAGGGGTCAAAGTTGAACAAAAATATGAATTTACACGACTATAAGATGATTTAATTTAATTCATGATAGCCCTGCTGTTCTTGTTTAAAGGCATTTTTTTAACAGATTTTTCTCTTTGTAATACCGACTATATATGTGCCTACCCACAACCCGGAATCATGATCTAAACAATTAACAGTTTGCACTATCTTGGGAAGCCACATAAGTTTCAGGCTTTAAATTCTGGTCCAGTGGTTCTTGAGAAGAAGGTTTTAAGATTTTCCCTGTATACACCTGTACTTTGATTCCCTATAATCCCAGGGGCCATGATATGAACCATTAAAATCTACAATACCTTAGGAAGCTTCACAAAAGTTTCATCTTTTCTGTACCAGTATTTCTTGAGACTATTTCCAATATATTTCAATGTAAAATTTTGATTCTTCATCGTGGTTCCCTCCAACTTTCGAGGGCCACGATTTGAACAATTAAGAATCTATTGTTCCCCAGGAAGCTTCCACATAAGTTTCAGGGTTCCTGGTCCAGTGGTTCTTGAGAAGAGTTTGAAAGATTCTCCCTATATTTCGAGAATTTACAAACCCGGCCTATTACCCAGGGATGCATATTGCCAAATAGGGTAAAAGCTGTATAGTCTAGTGGTTACTGAAAAGAAGTATAAATGTAACAAGTTTACAGATGGAAGGCATGACGGAAAGCTATACGGATGACGGACAATAGAGAATTGAAAAAAAAAACTCCCAAGAGCTATCGGCTCAGGTGAGATATCGGTAAAACCGAGATAAAACTGAGGATAGAAGCCAAGGATAGCCTTAAGGAGATATGGTGACGATCAGTGGAGAGATAGAGATGAGAAATCATGCAGGAAAGGGCTTGGGGCGTGATGCAGCAAATATCAGTGGGCAGGCAGAGATAGAGGCCCTCGGTCCAGGCTTTATCTGCTCAAGACACTAGGAAGACAATGTAAGTATAAGTTAGTACGTGTAAGTAAACGACTCTTGAACTGTAGAAATGATATACATGTATAGAATACTGACTTCGATTTACCAACAATACTTTTCAAAATATTTAATCAGAGAAGGTGTCAAAGGACGTTGATCATGGTATGATTTGATGACATTTATCAGTTACATGGCGAAGTTGTATGACCTGTGCTGTTATTGGAATATTGCTCTACGTAATCCTGGTGACTAAAGGCGAGTTAGCACAAAATCTACAGCATAATAAATGTTGATATTCAATCCTAAATGAGAAGTTGTGTGAAATAATTAAAGTTCAAAACGGATATTTATGACAGCGTGTGCCTATCGTGTTCGTATGCAAGTGTTAGAATCACAGGTACTTGTGGACAGGACCCCCCCCCCCCCGATATTCAACCCCGGGGCTTATTTTACATTTTTTTCACAATTTATATTTAGTACACTTATTCAACATGTTTGCAATAGGAACAAATCGTCAAAACCCCAAAATAATCGCTCCTCAAAAAAATACCCCACTATACATTATAAGATCTCTCTTATAATGTATAGTGGGGTATTTTTTTGAGGAGCTATTATTTTGGGGTTTTGACGATTTGTTCCTATTGCAAACATGTTGAATAAGTGTACTAAATATAAATTGTGAAAAAAATGTAAAATAAGCCCCGGGGTTGAATTAATATCTGGGGGGGGGGGGGGGGTCACAAGTACCTGTGGTTAGAATGTTACAATTGATGTGATCAATCTTTCGAGTTCGAACAAATTATCGTAATCTACGAGTGCCACAGGCTTCATAGAAAGTGGTGCATTGAACAAATGTAGGTGTACAGAGAAGCTTAAGTATTTATCGAAATCTTGGGTAAATACGGCTGTCAATTTAAACGGCATTGCCTTTTACCCCGGAGTGCGCAGTTTCTCCGCGTGCTACCGACTACCCAGAGCTTTACTTAGTTACTGTAAATAATACTGTCCAGCAAAGGAGTTTTAACGATTTGTCAACACTTACAGGCAAGATACCCGTGAACATGGATTAAATTTCTACAAAGTGAGTTAAATGTGTTTAAACTAAATAATTTAGGTGTTTGTAACAAACTAATTACAAAAAATAAATTTAAAAAAACAAAAATATTTTTGATAAATTTGGTCTACTCAATGTTCATAATTAAATTCCAAAGAAGGGGTTTCATGATTAAAAGTAATTCCGTTACATTCGAGAAGCATTGATATCATGCAGTGCTTATGATTTATTGGAAAAGTATGTAAAACTAAATTTGGTCTTGAAAGTAATGCGTATTTCACACGGAAATCATCTATTGATTCGTCCCAACTGTTAATTGTTTGCAGCTATACTGTTGAAATTAAAGAGAATAGAACAAGGGCTAAATACGGTCGATTTCTATATAAAAATAATTATGTATTTTAAATGTAACTTTTTTATTGACCTATATTTCTGAAGGGATTGACTAATTATCAAATATTAAGCCGATTTACCCTGGATTAATTTTTTTTAAAAATGGATTTTTTCCCAACAAGGAATCAACTCTTGTGTATTAGTAGGATTTGACAGTATGTTTCAATCAATTCATTGATTTTTTTAAACTTTGAATAAAATCAATAATATTACAGATAAATAATCTTTATTAATGCCGTTTTCGATTATGCGTTACACGGTACATCAACTATTATAAAATGCCAATATGTAAAATTAACGTTCACCATCAAATGGAAATTCTAATCATATACACTTCATTTCAAACAGCGAGATTAAATCTTTAGCAGCAAAACGAAAACTTGATTTACAATTTGAATTTCAATAAAGAATCGTGTTGATATATTGTCGGACCGTCCCATAATTTCAGTTCAGGTAGATGCAGCTGGCATTGATCCTACCATTATGAAAAAAGAACAGTAAACAGCGCGCGGTAGAGAAATTTTTAACCTTTTATGTACATTTAAATCTTTTTTGAAAATTCCATTTTCATATGAGCTGAAGAAACCATATACTTTAATGACACTGATCTTTTTTTCGGTGACATTAAAACCGATAATTTAAATGAATTTTACAGCCTGACAAGTCCAAATGAAATGCAAGTTTTAAATTTTGATAAAGCACACTTGATTTACATAATGGAAATAATACTTTATATCCTGTTGACAATGTTTTGCTTCGATTTAAATGATATTCATTAAATGAGATTTCAGTTTTATCTGAAGGTTGTATGTTTCAATTTCTATTTGTTTACTTCTTTGTCTAATCGTGAAACCATCTGTGTTCTTTTTGAAGATAACTTCCTTAACCGAAGACTGGTCAACGAAAATAATGATACCATGGGTGCTGTAGATATACACTGATTGAGAGACGAAGGTATACCTCCTCTTACGTGCACAATCTGATAGCAACAAAACACTTAATGAAGAGGTTCTTCTTTATATATATATTATTACGAGTTTTTTAAATCATTATCATCTTGTCACAAACTCCTCTTAAAACAGTGAGTCTGCCCCCTCCCCCCCCCCCCCCCCCCCCCGCCACTTTCCAAAAACGTCGCTACATCCCTGTGTCTAAAATAACATTTAAGAAATGCTCACTCCTTCGTAGCACCTGATCCAACCTCTAGCTGATGTTTTGGAGGTCCGTGATTGCTCTGCTCCAAGTTTGTATTGCCGGTTTAAAGAACTTTAATTTGTCATCATATATTTCATCCATCAAAGTTATTATGTACAAAAACGTTTTGAATTTTGACTTTCAATGTTGTGAAGTGTTGTTTTACTCCAAATCGTGCTGTGCCTTATGTCTTACCAGGTTTTTTTTAAACTGTCAACACGAAAACACGTCCGATTTATTATATCTTCAATATTTTCATTTGACTAGGCCGACAGAATTTGGACAAGTTTGCTGTAGAGATATCAGAATTAACATGGCTGTGGCACTGACCTATCGGGATTACCAGTAAGTTATCGACATATTCATGTCAAAATACGTACAGTCAAATCATTCCAATATGCCCACCTGTGTTATGAATAAATATTAAAACCTTGGACAAGTTATTTTGGACACTAATTAATAAGTATGAATAAAAAATATATCACCAATTTTTATATTTCTAATGCAAAAATCGTAATTGACAATCAATACACAAGTAATATCAAAATATTTGAAAAAGTCTTACGATTTAGTAAAAATGATGGAAAGTCGCATATTCTAACGAACCTCTATTTAGCTACTGCTCGAAATAAAGTAAAATATACATTTAATAATCTACAATAATGTATGTACATGTAATAAGATGTATTAATATATTTCTTCTTTAGCAACAAATCCTTCAGCAAGTTTGAGCTGAAGATGATGGAACTGGAGGATCTTAAGAACGAGGCCAACAGACATGTCGGCCGCCTCAACTCGCTCAAAATGCGTTACATGGACTGGTTTCTCCGATGCCAGCAGTCCTTCCTAGACTCCATAAAACTCATTCACATTCTGGGAGGTGACCTCTTACCTCGGGAAATCAACAGCATCCGAAACTTCAAAAAAGTCATGAGATTTTCTGGACAGTTGCCTAGCAACGGAACACCACGTGACAGCAGTAAAGGGAAAATGATTGGCTTTCTCCTTTTCTGGGAAGAAATGCTGATGCTTAAACGCGAAAATGACGCTTTGTATAGAAAGATTTGTGACTTTTGTAATAGCATTCGTCGGCTGAGAGAACCAATATTAAAGGACGAGATTGACCGTTTGCACCAACGCCTCAACTTGTTCCTTTCTGAGGACTACGACTTCACCTCAATCTCGAACGACCGTCACAATCTCTTTACGTACCGTGTTGCCCTACATGATCACAGATATCACGGCCTCGTGTCCTACATCCCCTTCTTGCTCAGTATTGCTAACAAACTGTGTTACTGGACCTCTAAACTCTACATCGAGTTCCTGTAGTCTTGTAGTACTCATCGAAGATAATTCCCAACCTCTAGCCCATGATATTTACAGTAATGTTTTAAACAATCTAAAACAGTAATGTGTTAAACACCCCACCCATATTCCTCTGTGAAAAGGTCAAGCTGAAAAGATTTGGAATCTGTATGATTTTTTTATATTGTTTGCTCTGTTTAGAAATGTGTTTTTATCTAGGAATTGTTTTGTATGAATTGTTAAGTATATTGTCAGTTATTGTTTATGTTTGTATCATTTATTAAGGAAAATAAAGTGATATTTTCGTAATTCTTTTGTAAGCATTATAGTTACTTTAGAATGAAACTAATGCTTACAAGGACAAAACATAACGGTATATGAATGATGCATGTAGATGGACACTACCAGACTTGCTTTGGATGCTGGAGCTGATACATTTTCGGGTTCATTGACCAGGTATAAGTTTTTAGAGTAGGTGTATTCCCAAGTAACTATACGGATAACTTGCAGGGATACTGCACCGAGGGATGAACACTACCAGTGTTGCTTCGGATTCTGGATCTGACCTACATTTCTTAGATGAGTGACCAAGTTGAAGTTTTTGGAGCAGATTTATTCCCAAGTAATGGAGCAAACTTCCATCGATGATGTCATCCAACATTAGGGATAGACACTAACAGATTTGCTTGAGACTTTTTCTAGATGAGTCACAAAGTTCAACTTTAACCTACCTACTTAGTCCTTGTTATGCCCGCAGGCACATAGGACAAGGACTAGACTTCTCAACTTCTCTCTGTCTTGAGTATTATCTCCAGTTCTCCCCAAGTTAGTTTGTGATCTCTCATTTCCTTTTTAACAGTCCTTCGTCAGGTGGTCTTTGGCCGACCAGATTTCCTCTTCCCTTCCAGTGTCCAAGAGCTACGTTGGTGATGCTTTTGGCTGGCTTCCTCAACACATGCCCTATCCATTGCCATTTCCGTTTTGTCAATAAAGTTCTCATATCATCTGTGTTTGCGTTCTCATGGAGTTTCACATTGATAATTTTATTTGGCCAGAAAATCCTCATGATCTTTCTGAGGCATCCATTATGGAAACTAGAAAGTCTGCATATGTCTCCTTCTGTCATTCTCCAGCATTCTGACCCATAGATAAGACAGACAGAACGCACCTGTTATAGATTCTTATTTTTGTCCTTTTACTTACGTCAATTTTTTTCCAGATGTTCTTGAGGCTGATGAAGGCACCTCTAGCTTCACTTAGTCTGGCCTTTATATCTTTGTCCACACCCCCATCTGATGTTACTATGCTGCCAAGATTGGTAAATGTTGTTGTGTTGTTCAGGTCATTTCCATCAACCTGTATTCTTGCTGACTGTTTGGTGTTTTAATGATATAACTTCAGTTTTCTTGGTATTGATTTTTAATCCAATTTTTCTGCATTACTCCGTAATTTTGAAGTTTTACTTTGTATATGCTTTTTAAATGTGATAGTAGGACCAAGTCATCTGCATAGTCTTGGTCTTCAAGACTGGTAAAAAAGAGTCCATGTCTCATTCCTGTGTTATTGCAACTAAGGGTTGATTTCATTACCCAGTCAATTGCTAGTATAAACATAGATAATCCAAGATTACGAAGCTCACCTCGACGAAAGTTATCAGTTTAAGTGATGCAAATCTCACTTCATATTTTTTAACAAATATTTATCCTGACAATAATGTTCAAGAAAGTTTTGTTTAAATAGGTCTTAAAGTTCATTGGAGATTAACCTGTTCCAAAATCCTGGTCACTTGTTTAGAAAATGTAGTTCAGATCCAGTATCCTTAGCAAGTTTCGATTGTCCATCCTCCGATGCATCATCCATGCAAGCTTGGTCCAGGTAGGGCTCATAGTTTATTGGGAATAACCTAGTCAGTAATCTGGAAAATGCAGGTCAGGTTCAGCATCCTAGGCAAGTCTGGTAGTGTCCATCCCTAGAATGCATCATCAGTGCAAAGTTTGGTCCGGGAAGGGCCGATAGTTACTTGGAAATGGACCTGCTCCAAAAACTTTAACCTGGTCACTCATCTGGAAAATGTAGGTGATATCCAGCATCCGAAGCAGGTCTGGAAGTGTTCATCCCTAAATGCATCATCCATGCAAGTTTGCTCCAGGTAGGGCTTATAGTTACTTGGGAATGAACCTGCTCCAAAAACTTAACCTGGTCACTCATCTGGAAAATGTAGGTCAGATCCAACATCCAAAGCAAGTCTGGTACCGGTAGTTTCCATCCCTAGATGTATCACCCATGCAAAGAAGAAGTCTCAATAAGCCATTATCTTTGGTCCCCGGTTACTCGTCAAATTTTAAACTTTCATTAAAAAGCTTAAAAAGTAAATTACATTGATCTCTTATGTCTGTAGTATATGGTCCAACGTTTAAAAATTTCAAATAATTGCAAAAAAGAACACGCGAACCTGTGTTTTGAAGGTGGGGTCCTTTGATTTTCATGAATATCAAAAGAAATATGTGACAGGTACCCACTTCAGAGCTTTCGTAAACATCGAGCGCAGATTTGTTTAAAGTCGACATCAAAATATAATGTGTATATTATATTTATACAGATTGTGTGAAAATATCTTTGTTGAACAACATTGCGCTCTATGTCTTCTACTTAAAAGTATCATGATTTTGTATCTGTTCGGTGAGTATATTTACATAGGATTAACCTCTTGTTGACCTGCTAAGAATAGATAATATGTCACGTGATTCCATTCCGCCACAGGTGAATACCTTTGGAAAGCGTGTTTTCTATAGGAAGCGAGTCAGTGACACAATCTTGTAGCTCGTATTTGAAAAGTGCAGACACCAGCTTTAATTTTTAAAATAAAAAAAGACTCTCTATAGACTTCGATGAATATCACTTATGATAAACTTTGACGATTTTCCGGGACATTTTTTAATTCTCCTGCACGTAATCGCAATATTCCTGTTCATTGCGAAAATTAAAGCACACGCGTAGATGTATATAAATACACATTTAATCAATTTCTTGCGAAAAAGAAACAAAATATTATAAGCAGAAAATACCAAAGACGTAATAATTTCTTCACATTTAATCACTGTCTAAACAAAATTAATGCACTCGCATACTGACCACTTCAATATTCAAAGCAACTTTATACTCTTGTCACGTTTTTGGATGCTAGCTGAATGCATAAAATTTTTTATATAAACTCGGAAAAACTTCGAATGCATTTATAATCGATAAGTAAATCGGAATATTCATTGCAGAATTTACAGCGAAGCTAAGAAATATATATACATGTCAGGCAGATAGTATCTGGGGAAGGGGTAACCCATTCTTTTCAGGGATAAATCTTGAGTTCTTCACCCACCCCCACCCACCCACCCACCCCCCCCCCCAAAAAAAAAAAAACTTTCATACGCCTTTACGCTGCTACAATATGAATAAACACACATTAATGTTGAAGTTTAATTTTTCAAATAAAAATATGAGTATTTTTTATTAACTCCTAATTCTACATTAATCGTTTTCAAGTTTGGAAAAGGATTTCCTCGATCTTTTTCTTTTGCATTATCAAATTCATGTTTCTTGTTTTCTTTTTCTCAGCCCCCTCCCCCCTTTACAAAAGAATGGTAGTGTATGTCTGTGTGTATTTACCGTTAATTATTATGCAATCGCCTGTGCTTTTCAAACAATCATGTAAAAGAAAATTATTGTAGTGGGTAAAATATATTGACATTTTATTCAACAATGATAGATTTTAAAAAATTATTGCGATTAGGGGGATTTTTAAAACCCCGACAAAAATACCAGAAGTACTAAAAAAGACTCCCACTCACCCCAAGTTAAGAAGAATACGAATGATGCAAAATAAAATTCAAACGTATTGTAGATTATTATTACCCATCGTATATTGCTTATTATTTCTTATCTCACGCTACAATTCATCGGTTTTATTTATGGAATGCCATATACGACAGCCAACTGCTTACTGCCAACTGTCAGCTGCTTACTGCCAACTGTCACACATATTTGAATAAATTTTATATTTGTATTGATATTTATATGAATTTTCACAAAAAAAGGAAAAAAAAAGGCACGGATCCAGGACATTTTTTCCAAGGGGTCACCCTGGTAAAATTGAATTGAATAAAATGACCAATATGTTTTATCTTATGTAATATTCAATATATGCGGTTGATAAAATACATTGTTTATTTTTTTTTTATTTGTTTTCCTATTTGAAATAGGTAATAAAATGACTATTTTCTGCTTTTAATCTTTAAAGAAGCCCCCCCCCTCCCCCGGAGACAACAAAACCTTTGAAGAGAGAATAATAATAAAAAAAATATTTGTCATTTCGCAGAGAAAGATGTTTTGAAAATAAATTTCCGTTTTCCAATATATTCTATAGTTAAAAATTTCCTCAAATTAAAGATGTATATCTCTGTGTGTTATAATGCAGGCACGTAGCTTCGTTTTTGAAAGTGGGGGGGGGGGGGCAACCAGAGTACCTGAAAAAGTTGACAAGCAAAAAAAAAAAAAAAAGGAAATGTCTCCCGAACTCGAAAATCCTATTTCGTAAGGGGGGGGGGTGGCTAACTTTTTTTTAATGCCAACTACCTTTCACTTACATTTTTTCCCACACAATACTACAAATCCTTGATATCATTATACTATGGTAAGAAGAGGGGGGGGGGGGCAACCATCCTTTCAATATACATTTTCAATAGTAAAGGTAATGTTGCCCCCCCCCTTCCCCCGTTGCTACGTCCCTGTAATGTTTCACATGCATAGATCTGGGGGGGGGGGGCATTTAAAATTTGTACAGTCATACGTTAGATAAACTAAACGAACTACCGGTATAGCTGATCTTGGACCCTCCACTTAGAAAACGCCGATCAAACATTTATATCTCTTTGTTTGTACAAATAAAATATGTTTTATATGCATAGATCTAGAGAGAGGGGTCCGGAACACCCCTCTGAAATTTGTAAAGTTATTTAATTCACAAACTAAACCAACTAAAAGTTATATATTCTTGTCAAGAAATTTCTGGGTTGCTTTTTTTTTCTACCCGGGTGTCCCTCTTGGAAAAAAAATCCTGGATCCGCGTCTGTTTTTTGAAAATACACATGAATATATTAAAATAAATATGAAAATTTATTCAAATATGTGTGGCAGTTGGCAGTAAGCAGCTGACAGTTGGCAGTGAGCAGTTAGCAGTTGGCAGTAAGCAGTTGGCTGTCGTATATGGCATTCCTTATTTATTCCTTTATATAATACCTAATTTAAATGTCTCCGCC